TTTAATGGGTTTTTGATATAATAAGTGCTTTGTTATTAAAAGCAGTAAAGTGATAAGACAATATACTTAAAATGTAGACAAGTTGAACTTCACTTGTTTTTAAAGATCTGTCAGTATAAAGGTTCCAGTTGATGAGTTTGAATGAAAAATTTTAAACTATTAGGTGACCTTTGACTTGCCTGCTTCTATGAACCAATCACACACAGTGCAGGGAATATAAGGGGGAAAGATGGTTGGACCACCCTTGTGAGGACACACCATCTGACACTTTGGAGTCCGAACAATTAACTACCAGACAGAACTGCATTAAGAGTTGGTTGAGGAGGCTGGGGTTGTACTTAGTGGTAAAGTGCTTACCTGCACACCTGTAATCGCAGAGACTTGGGAGGCTGAGGTAGGAGGATCCAAAGTTCAAAGCCAGCCTCAGCAATTTAGCGAGGCCCTAAGCAACTTAGCAAGACCCTGTTTCAAAATTAAAATGAAAAGTGGGGGTGTGGCTCAGTGGTTAAGTGCTCCTAGGTTCAATCCTTCTACCTACTTCCTTAAAAAAAAAAAAAGAGTCTTAGGAGATGGGGCCTCATAGAAGGTAATCAGGTCACTGGAAAATCCCATCAAAATGGATTAGTATAGTTCTGATGGGACTCAAGTTAGCTCCCAGGAGAGTAGGTTGTTAGACAAGAGAAATCTGACCCCTGAGTCACTCTGGCTTCCTATCACACTTTAGGAGCTCTCTTCCATATGTGCTTTCCTTATGATGCCTTCCACCATGAAGCCCTCTATAGAGCTAAGCAGAAGCTGGCATTATGCTCTTGAGCCTCCAGAAAGAACCGGGAACTAAATAAACCTCTTTACTTTACAGATTGCCTCACCTGAGATGTTTTGTTATAGCATTGGAAAATGGATTGATACAGTTGGCTACATCAAATGGCACTGGAGGCCTAGTATTAGTGTAAATGATATTTTGTGGTCTTCCTAACAGCTAGGATATCAGGATGTGAAAGGAAAATCTTTGAATTCTCTTGGTGATGAAGTCATGGATGCTCTTCATGTTATTGTACTCTTGTCTATATTCGTGACTGAAGGAAATGTTGAATTTGAGTTAGGAGTTAGTGAAAATAAAGGTGAATTTTTCCCCCATTCAGATTCACAAATCCCCTGAAATCTGTTAATTAATCATAGGTTATGAATCTGATTCTAAAAACCAACATATTGTTCTTGGCTCTATACACACACCCGCCATCCACATGTGCACCTGTGTAGGCACGCGCTCGTGTGCGCGCACACACACACACACGCACACAAATTCCAAATGGATTAGAATAATACACACTACATTTGTGGTTGTGGTTGCTTCTGGTAGCTTTAGAACTAAGGACGGTATATATAACAATCACAAAAAATGTAAAAATAATTGAGGCATTAGTAGAAAACTAAGTCACAAACTAATTAAACCTTTCTGGTTCATTGTCAATGTTCAATGAACCTTCATTCTTCTTCCATCTCCTCTCTTAGTCCTTGATGGTTCTGTCTCTAACAGGCCCATTTCCTGTTGTCACCATCCTCACTTGTGTCTTTGGTGTGATATACATTGCTCCTAGTGCACTGGGCATGTCCTTCCCCCTCAGTAATTTACTTGCATAGTGGAGATACACTAGGAATAAGACTGACGAGGCCAGAGGTACAGTCTAGGCAGAAACTGGACCTCACCTCATGATTCCCCCAGATGAAGAGAAAGTGGCTGTGGGAGGGAGAAGAGAGGATATGAGTCCTGAGAGAAGGTGCTGATCTCTTTCCTCTCCGTGGTGTGCCCAGAGCCTGGGCAGAACCCAGCACAGAGGTCATGGACAGCAGATGTCTTCTGAATAGTGAATGACTGCTTTTTCTATTTCTATAAAGCACATTATCAAACCGTAAAAGGAGTTGCATTAAGTGTGTTTAGCACTTTTGGTGGTATAGCCATTTTGACAATATTATTTTTACCTATAAGAACATGGGAGATCTTTCTAACTTCTCAGCTCTTCTTCAGTTTCTTTCTTTAGAGTTCAATAGTTTTTACTATAGAGATCTTTCACCTCTTTTGTTAGAGTGATTGCCAAAAAAATTTTTTTTTGAGGCGATTGTGATTTGGATAGTTTTCCTAATTTCTCTTTCAGTTGATTCATCACTGATGTATAGAAACACCATTGATTTATGGGTGTTAATTTTATGTCTGCTACTTTGTTGACTTCATTTATGAGTTCTAGAAGTTTTCTGGTGGAGTTTTTGGGTCTTCTAAATATAAAACCATGTCCTCAGCAAATAGGGATAGTTTGAGTTCTTCTTTCCTATTTGTATCCTTTTAATTTCTTTTTTGATCTCATTGTTCTGGCTAGAGTTTTAGGACTATGTTGAATAGAAGTAGTGAAAGAGGACATCCTTGTCTTGTTTCAGTTTTTAGCGGGAATGCTTTCAATTTTTCTCCATCTAGGATGATGTTTGCCTTGGGTTAGCATATATAGCTTTTACAATGTTGAGGTATGTTTCTATTATCCCTAGTTTTTCAGTGTTTTGAACACAAATGGATGCTGTATTTTGTCAAATGCTTTTTCTGCATCTATTAAAATAATCATGTGATTCTTATCTTTAAGTCTGTTGATGTGATGAATTACGTTCATTGATTTCCGTATGTTGAACCAATCTTGCATCCCTGGGATGAACACCACTTGATGATGGTATTCAGAGTTTTTGCATCTTTGTTCATCAGGAATATTTGTGGGAGATCAACCTTGCATGTGACTGAGTTGGTGACAGATGCTGCTAGACTGCCCCACCCTTCTTGGATTGGAGGGACAGTGGGTGTCTTCTTTGTGCCTGGGCTCGCCTTCCTACAGCCCCATGGGTGGAGCTATGCTCACCTGTTCCTTTGTAATATTACCCCTTGCCCTGTTTGGGATAGAATGTTCCATGGAAACATCCTTTGTGTATCCCCTTATCTTATTGTGCCCTTGGGTGTGGCCTACCTAGGTGTCAGTTAACCTGCTGACAGCAGACTCAGGAAGCTAGACTCAGCCCCCCTGAAACTGACCTCTTGCCTCATTTGAATGGCTTCTCCCCAGTAAAATCGGGTCAGCACGTGTGGGCTCTCTTCTCTCTCTCTCTCTCTCTCTCTCTCTCTGTCTTTCTGCGGGCCCTTAAGATCAGAGGAGCCGTCACAGCACCCCCAAAGAAAAAGGTATTTCTGTCTCTTGTATGGTTATTTTGCACAGCCCAATTAGCCCAGGTCCCCTGGAGTGACCCTGAGAGTTTTAGTCTGAAATTCTTTCCTTGCCATGTCTTTGTCTGGTTTTGGTATCAGGGTGATACTAACTTCATAGAATGCGTTTGGAAGGGTTCCCTGCTTTTCTGTTCCTTGGAATAATTTGAAGAGGATTGGTGTTAGTTCTTCTTTGAAGGTCCGGTAGGAGAATCTGTCTGGTCCTGGGCTTTTTCTTTGTTGGTATTCTTTTGCTGGTGTCTTCAATTTCATTGCTTGAAATTGACCTTTTCTATGTCCTTCTGATTCAATTCAGGTAGGTCAGTATGTCTCTAGAAATTTGTTGATGTCTTCAAGATTTTCTATTAGAGTATAAATCTTCAAAATAGTTTCTGATTATTGTCTGTATTTCAGTAGTGTTTGCTGTGATATTTCCTTTTTCATCATGATTTTTAGTAATTTAAGTTTACTTTTTCTCTTTGTTAGTTTGGTTAGGGGTTTATCAATTTTTATTTATTTTTCAAAGAACCAACTTTTGTCAATTTTTTAAATTGTTAGCTGTAGGTGGACACAATACCTTATTTATTTGTTTATTTATCTATCTATTTATTTATTTATTTATGTGGCGCTGAAGATCAGCACCAGTGCCTCACACATGCTAGGCAAGCACCTTACCATTGTTTCAAATTCATTGATTTCAGCTCTGATTTTAATTATTTCCTGTCTTCTATTGCTTTTGGTATTGATTTGTTCTTTTTCTGGGGCTTTGATATGCAAAGTTACGATATTTATTTGGGGCTTTTCTGTTCTTTTAATGAATGAGCTCAATGCCACGAACTTTCTTCTTAGCACTGCCTTCATAGTGTCCCAGAGATTTTGATATATTGTATCACTATTCTCATTTATCTCTACTTATGGTTTTAAATATAGACTCTAAGTATTTTTAAAATTTCATCCCTGGTTTCTTCTGCTTATCCATTGGTCATTCAATAGCATATTACTTAGTGTCCAGTGTTACAGGGTAGCTTCTATATTTTGTCATTGATGACTTTTTTTAATATTTATTTTTTAGTTGGAGTTGCACACAATATTTTTATTTATTTATTTATTTTTATGTGCTGAGGATCAAACCCAGGTCCCCAAACACACAAGGTGAGCACTCCACTGCTGAGCCACAACCCCAGCCCCTTATTATTGATTTCTAATTTTATTTCATTATGATCTGATAGAATGTAAGGTATTATTTCTCTATTTTTTTTTTTTTTGTATTTGCTAAGAGTTGCTTTGTGACCTAAAATATTGTCTATTTTAGAGAAGGATCCATGTGCTTCTGAGAAGAAAACAAGTAAAATGAAGAAAGGTTAATTTCTTTAAAAATAAAAAGAAGCAAATATTTATAAGCAGCCCTGTCTGCTTATAATGTCTTATTAGATTCAGTTCACAAATTTGGAAACTGAGGCTCAACAGTGCTACGTAGAGAAGATCAGAGTCACATGGTTTCTAAATGACAAAGCCAGTGATTGGTTGCTTTACATGGAAATTTTGTACTTTGTCAAGTTGATTTCCAGATAGGACAAGTTGTTATAAGCTCAGATTTTATTCATCTTAGGTGCCAAACTATCCAACCATATGTTAGAGTCAAAAATTGTTGTACTTGAGTTTTTTTGACAATTATAAATGCTTTTTTTGTATTACACTGTATTGATAAATTTAATATTATATTAATAAAGAAACTGAGAAAAATGCCTTCCCCACCCCCCAAATTTAGGAGGATATGGCAAAAAAACTGGTCGCAGCAAAAAATGGAGGGAATTACTGAAGCTGCCCCCTGTAAGCCAGTGCAGTGAGCTGAGAGATTCCATTGGTGAGTACTTGAGCCTACCTACTGTCAGAGGGGCCAGCTGTGCTCCCACTTTCTGTGTTCTGTATTTGTCTCAAGTATTTAGTTAGTTCATTTCCCAGTACTGGAGATTGAACCCAGGGACACTTCACCACTGAGCTACACCCCCAGCTCTTTTTATTTTTTGTTTTGAGACAGGATCTCCCTAAGTTGCCCTGCCTGGCCTTGAACTTGTAATCCTTCTGCTTTAACCTCCCAAGTAGTTAAGTTACAAACATTTGCCACCTTACCTAGCTTGGCTTATAGTATTTTTTTCCATATAGAGATTTTAGTTCTTTATACAGACATACCAATCTTTTTTTTTTTTTTAATTATCTGCTGTGTTTCGTATTATGCTTTGGAAGGACACCTTTATTCCAAGATTATTTTTACGAATCGATTTGTGGCTCAGTGGTAGAGTGCTTGCTTAGCATGCACAAGGCTCTGGGTTCAATCCCAGTACTAGAAAAAACAAAAACAAAAACCATCAATGGTACTTGGCACAATATGGCATGTCAATAATCCCAGCTACTCCGGAGGCTGAGGCAGGAGGATCACTTGAGCCCAGGAATTAGAGGATAGCCTGGGCAACATATTGAGACCCCATCTCAAAACAAAAAAATCACTGACTGTAAATACAATAGTGTTTTTCTAAACTCTTGTGATTGCATTTAGGGCTCAGTAAAAAACCCGTGTCAGCATCCTTTATATAATCACATATGCAGGGACCCATTTTTCAAATAAGGTAACATTTTCCGGTTCCAAGGATTTGAATCTGTTATCCTGGGCGGCTATTATTCAGCCTTTTATATATGATAACTCTGTTAACTTTGTGAGGAACTACTAGACTTTTCCTGTAGCTGCATCATTTTTCATTTCCCCAACAATAAACAATGATTGGACTTCTTCCATGTCCTCACCAACACTTGATGGTTTCATTATAGCCATCTTAGTATGTGTGATTTGAATTTCCCTGATGCCCAATGATTTTGAGCAACTTTTTAAGGCTTCTTGATCATGTGCATATTTTCTTTGGACCAATTGATATTTGGCCTATCGTGTTAACAGTAATTTTTTCTGAGTATAGCATAGACAGATTAGTATGGAAATTGATTCCATTATTTGACATTTGTATCGTAATTATGTGAATTTTTCTTTTGGACTACTTATGATTTTAAATATATTTATAGACTCAAAAATTTTATTTTAATATACATTTGCTTATACATTTATTCAGTATGCCTCTAATTCTTCAGGGTAGTTTTTTAGCACACAGAAGAAGTAACTTACATTAAATGTCCCATTAGTTAACTTGTTAGTATATTTTCACCATGTTCCAAGGAAGAGGGTCTGCTACCATAAATACAGCAGTTGAGAAACAGACCCAGTCTCTGCCCTCAGAGCTTATAATCTCTTGGCAGATATAGATATAAAATAGAAAAATGATCATAGAAATAAACATAATTAATGGCTGAGCACCATGGCTCGTGCCTGTAATCCCAGCGGCTTGGGAAGCTGAGGCAAGAGGATCATGAGTTCAAAGCCAGCCTCAGCAACAGTGAGGCGCTTAGCAACTCAGTGAGACCCTGTCTCTAAATAACATACAAAATAGGGCTGGGGGGCTCAGTGTCCCATTGCCCCTGAGCTCAATCCTCAGTACCCACTCCGCAAAAAAAAGGGTGGGGAAAAAAGAAATAAACATAATTACAAATTGTAGGGGGACAGTACAGACAGCCAGGTGAGAGGAACTTAATCTGATCAGGAGTGAGGTAGAGAGGATCAGAGAAGGCTTCCTAAGGAAGGCACTGGGCTAGGAGCATAAAGTACAGGGTAAGAGGGACAGGAAGAGAATTTTCCAGGCAGCAAGGTTAACAAGTACAAGGGCCCCAACCTGGGAAGGTGTATGGCAATTTCCATGTTCTTAAGGAAGGCCAGTCTTCCTGGAACAAAGATGGAGGCGCAGAGCGGCACTGAATGAGTGGAAGGAAATGGTAGGGGTTCTAGGCCTGGGAAGGGGAGGTCTTACTGAAGTTATAAAAGGTTGACATTGCCAAGTTCTTAGCAGAGAAGAGATGTAATCAGATTTACATTTTAGGAAGTCTCTCTGGCTTCAGTAGGAGAATGGGAGCAGAGGGGTTAGCATGGAAACAGGAAGACTGTAGAGACTGTTGATGTTGTCCAGGCAGGAGCTGAGGGCAGCGTGGTTTGGTATGTGGTGATGGAGTTGAAACAATCAGATCAGATGGGACTGTGAGAGACTGTAAGTAGAACCCAGTCGCTTTCTGTGTGGAAGTAAATGCAGGGGAGTTCTTAAGGAAGCCTTCCAGGTCTGTGTGTTCAAGAGGCAGCACATGGGGTGGAGCCCAGCCTGCTGGAACCGAAGCTGTGCGTTCATGTGGAGGGCTCAGAGAAGTCTGGGTGGTATCTGTACAGGTAGCATGTAGAAGTCGTGAGACTGGAAGTAGATAAGATCCTCCTCAGGAGAGAACAGAGGGAATGGGGAAGGGGCGCTTGACCAGCTTCAGAAGACTTTTCATCCTGTTTTGGCTCAGTGAAGAGGAAAGACTGGTCAGATGGACCTAGCCGGACGCAGTCATAAGATGGATCCATGTAGAGTCTGGAGAGCTGGGGGTCCAAACAACTAGGGGCTGGGACAGTTTCAGGTAGGTGAGTGTGTCATAGAGATTGAGGACCCATTAGATTGGGCCACTGGTTCTGAGTCTGTTTTTTGGTCCCTAGAGCACTGGGCATGAAGTTGAGTGAGTGAAGGAGTCACAGTGACTGTGTACAAGCAGCCCTCAAGGAGTGCGGCAATGTGCTCCGAGACGTGCTCTGCTCTGCTCTGCTCTGTGGGCACATCTTGGTCTATGGCCTTTTTTGTTGCTTAGTTTATAAGCATTTGACTTAGTGTGGCAGAAAGCATGCCTGAGAGTTTTCTAATTTTCATCCTTTGGTTGTTCTGAATTTGTAGAACAGACTTCATATAGAATAAGCAAGCTTGGTGCTCTGAGTTAGTGTTCTTCATACAGGAGGGTTGGGGAGGGGAGAGAGAGAGAAAGAGAGAGAGAATGCATGTTGATAAACTTGGGAACCAGTCTCCTGTTAGCTGGTTCACATGTGGACAAGAGGAGTTGTTGAAACACCTCTTCCTCTTTTTTTTCTCCACATTTTTAAATTCGTGCATTATAGTCATACATAATGGTGGTATTTGTTGTTACATATTTGTACATGCACCCAGTATAACAATATAATCTGTCCAGTATCCTCCCCAGCACTTCCCCCTCCTCCCTGTCCCCACCCCGGCCCCTTCCTCCACTCTACTGATTTCCCTTTGACTTTTGTGAGATCCCTACCATCTTTCTTTTCCTTTTTCCTCTCTAGCTTTCACATATGAGAGAAAATGTATGACCCTTGACCTTCTGAATTTGGCTTATTTTGCTTAACATAATGATCTAAAGTTTCATCCATTTTCATGTAAATTACATAATTTTGCTTTTCTTTTTTTTCTTTTTTTTTATTAGCTACACATGACATTACAATGCATAATTTCACTTTTCTTTACTGCAGAATAAAACTCCATTGTGTGTATATGCCTTATTTTGAGGCAGGTTCCATAGTTCAGCTGTTGTGAATTATGCTGCTATTAACATGGTATACATGTAGCATGATAGTATGTTGACTTTAATTTTTTTTGAAGAGTATATTCTTTCTTTTTTTAAAACATTTTATTTTTTTATTTATTTTTATGTGTTGCTGAGGATTGAACCCAGGGCCTTGCATGTGCAAGGCGAGTGCTCTACCGCTGACCCCAGCCCCAGCCCCTGTTGACTTTAATTCTTTAGGCTAAGAATAAATACTGAGGAGCGGTCTTTTAGCTCTGTGGCACTGTGGGCTCAGGACCCACATGCTTCCTATGTCTAGTCTGCCAGAACTTCTCCCCTCCTGGTGAGCCTGACTTCTGCTGGGGACCAGTGCCCTCTTTCCAAATACTAATTCCCCTCTCTCTGTTGTTCATCTGTGGCACCCAGAGCAGCCTCTGAGGGTCACCAGGCTAGGAGCTAGGTCCTTTGACCCTGCAGAGTGGGAGCCTCTGGTGGCAGCATCTGTCTACTGCTTGAGAGATATTAAATTTTGTGACATATTTCTGTGATTTGTTTTTTGGGTGTGTTATGTTTGTTTTTCATGCCATGTGAAATCTAACGCATGGAAAAGTGAAATCATTAATGAAATTTTGAACCAGATAGGGTAAAAAGGGTTTTTGTTAGCTGCTGCTTTTTTCCAAAATTGGAGCTCTGGAGTTGCTTATCCAAGTCTGTAATAAGGGTGCATGTGTGAATGCCACAGCCAGCACTGCCCTCTCTGGTGGTTGCATAGTTCTGTTTTCCCAACATTCTCTCCAAGTGGGGTTCTATTGTGGCATGCTAATGGGGCAGCATCCCCACAAGACCCCTGTCCCAGTGCACAGCAGAATTGTCCACTTTGCTAGAAGACACCTCTGGTTCCTTCAGCAGTGTTCTGTGTCTCCCTCTTGGGTCCCAGCATCTCTACTGCTTGATTCCTAGCCTCTTGGCCAGCCACTCAGGATTGGACAGCAGGCTCCTGTGATGCTAGGGAGGGACATACTTAAAGAGGTCCAGCTTGTCCTTGGGTTCGAGTTAATGGTTCTTTTATTGATCCAACCCCATCAGCTTTCTCTCTTCCAGGCAATATGTAAAATTCTGACTCCTGGAGGTGCCTTACTCTTTTTCTGTGTTAGAGTTTTTTTCTTTATGTCATTGTTTTGTCTTTGTTTTATTATTTGGTCATTTTTTAGGAATCTGGGAGAGAAGGAAGGCAGACCTATGTTCTGGTCTACCATCCTCAGATGGAAATGAGGAGTGTTTCTGATTCTTTGGATGAGGGAGGAAAGTATTAAAAACTTTCATATTTCAAAAACATAACTTTTGACTGGCTTGTTTCTCTTGCTTTCTTAAGTATAGTTAGGTAGTATCCCTAAAATAAAATAGAGTAGCCAAATTGGATGAAGTAGGTTGTAGAACTTCTGAAAAACTGTTGTGAGGTTTGTGAAAACAAGCAGCTATATCCTGGCCATCCTGAGCTCATATCCTTGCCTTCATTCTCCATGTTCAGACTCAGTGGTCCAAAACAGGATCGTGGGGATGACACATGGCATTTTTGCCAGAACGTAGTGGTTGAGAGGTGACGCCAGCAAGCCATTGAGATGATGATGGTTATGTTGTGTGTTCAATTGTATATTAGACCCCTGCTGTCCACCTCGGCCTGCTACTTTGGGAGTTCTCATGGGATTCCTGGGGAGTTCCGTTGGTTGGGGAAGTGCCGGAGGAGGGATTTTCGGTTCGTGTGTGGTGTGTCCCTGGAGAAGGCTGCGTGTGCGTGGCCTTTGTGAGAGTATGGAGAATAAAGGAGTTCCTGTTTTGAACCTACAAGGCTGTGTGGCGGCTCGAATATTTTGTGCCCAGCCAGATTGCAGCAGTTTCCCAGAGTTACATGGTTTCAGTGATGCTTAACAGAAGGATTTGTTAATGACTTGCTCACTTTTTGTGAACTTTATGTTAATTCTTAAGCTTTAGAGTCACATTAGGAGACCTAAACATGTTTATTTCAAGTTGGGAGCCACTGTTCAGAGAGTAACTGGTTTTCTTTCTGAAATACAAATTAACCTATTTTGAACCTAAGTTTTATTTTGTTTTATATCCTTCTTTACATATTGACCAAATGTTAGTGCCCTGTTCTCAGAACTATAGCAGTGTTTGAGGTAAGGTATACAGTGTTTCCTACAGGAAAAAAACAAAACAAGAGCAGTTAAAGAGATAATTAAACATATATATTTGTGACTTTTTTTTTAATACTAAGATTGAACCCCAGGTGTTTACCCCTGAGCTACATCCTCAGAGCTTTTAATTTTTCCTTTTGAGATAGAGTTTCACTAAGTTGAGGAGGCTGGCCTTGAACTTGTGATCCTCCTGCCTCAACCTCTCAAGTCATTGTGGTTACAGGCATGTTCCAGGGTGCCCAACTATATTTGTGACATTTTAAGTACAAAAGGTAACAAAATGAAAAAGTGTTTTAAAAATCTAACAGTACATTCCTGCAGGATATTTCACATTCATGCAGTTGATTCCAGTATATAGGGTGGGTACTATAATGGAGGAGTCTCTTCCTTCTCCTTCCTTCCCTGTGGGGGCCTCTAGGGAATCTCCATCCCTGTGTGTTTCCTTTTGGAAAAGAACAGGCCCTGCAAGTCAGGATTCACTCATCCTTGTGAGTTCTTGAGTTATCTTGAGTGCTAAATATTTTAATGTTCATCATAACCCACTCTAAATTAATAAATAGAAGAGTAGTTAAAAAATAATACTTCAAAAAATAATACTACTATGTTTCTACTTTCATTGTATCTAGTGAAAATATTAAGATGCAGAATAGCATTTAGTAAATTATAACCATTATATTTGCTTGTTTCCCTTCCCCTTTCTTGTCCCAGAAAAAGATTATAGCAGTCTCTGTGACAAGCAGCCAATAGGAAGACTTCTCTTCAGGCAATTCTGTGATGCAAAACCAGATCTTAAGAGTTGCATTGAATTCTTGGTTGCAGTGGTAAGCGATTCATTTCAGGGTTGAACTGCCCAGTCTGGTTTGAAAATTTAAAAACTAGACCTGGACAATGACACAGAGGTTATGGATAGACTGGTTGTATTGGTGTTGTAGTTATATTCTTAGTACGGAAATCCCTTCTGTATGAGATGATATGGTCACGGAATTACATCCCCAGTGCGGGGGAATTGCACCTGCTCACTGAGTGCTTTTGACCCCTGCTGCCTTCGTTTGTGGAAGGTTGACAAGCAAAAGAAGGCCATATGCTTCTTTAGCCAACTGAAGTGTGCCCTTCCTGCCCTCTGTGGTAGACCTGTGGTCCAGACGCATTTGGAAGGGATAATGTCATTGTAAGAAAGATGAGCTTTTGGGTGGAGTTTACTAAGCTCTGTGAAGCATCTACCATTCTCTTGTATCCTGTTTGAGATGTATTTTACCTGTGATTTTTTTCCCTAGGTTAAGAGTTTTGTGTTTCTAAGTATTTATGAAGACCACTGGCAAGCCTAGAATTTCAAGACTATGAAGTAACCAACCAATAGAAAATGGGTGCAATTCAGCAGAAAAGCTCTCTTACTTTGTTATTTATACCAAGGTTATGACCCTTCCTCTCAGCTTTGGCCAGTTCTGGTTATATCAGCAAATATATATCCAACACTTATTATATACAGAGGGCTGTATTATATCATTGCATTTGTATTCACTTTCTCGCCATAATAGCCTTATAAAAACTTCTTGAAGTTATTTATTTATAATGACATTTTTCAGAAAAACATTTGAAGCTCTTTTTTTATTTGCTTCCTACCCCTCAAAACTTCCCTAGTCTGTACCTTCTGGCACTGTTGTTAAAAGAAGACAAAACTGGGCCTGGGGCTGTAGCTCAGTGGTAGAGCACTTGCCTGGCATGTGTGAGGCCCTGGGTTCCATCCTCAGCACCACATATAAATAGATAGATAGATAGATAGATAGATAGATCCATTGATGACTTAAAAATAGAAAAAAAGAAAAGAAGACAAACTTAGAAAAGTGTCAGTTATTTCTTTTTAAAGGCAGGATTCTGATGCAGTGGGCCATGCCTTCTTGGTTAAATGAGTGGAAAATGGGTGTAAATTTTCATGTAATGAGTTATGTTTTCCAAACTGCCTTACTTTAAGAATTTAGGGACCTACAATTTTTATTTCCAGTAAAATGGCTAAATTGCATAGTTAAAATTCTATTTTGGGTTTAAATCTTCTGATATTATCATGATACCCATTAGTTACTAGGTAACAGGTTTAATTTTGTTTTTTAATTTTTTAAAAATAATTCTGGTAACAATTGTGTAGATTCAGAAAGAGCACCTGATGGTGCTGTTCATGCAGCACTTACTGCTTTGACTATCCTGTGATAGGTGATTACAGGTTTTTGGTGCAGAGACTGACTGCATCTTATCCACCCTGCCCCACAGCATTTGACCCCTTGCTCAGTATTTGTTGAATGAATTAATGCCATCTATAAAAGTTAGGATTCAGCCAGAGAACCAGAGTCATTAGGAGGTAGATTTGAAAAGACTGATTACAAGACATTGGCTTACGACAGTGGATCTGACTAGGAAAGTCCAAAATGTATAGGATGGACCATCAGGAAGGACATGATGTAACTCTCCAGAAATAGGACACAGCTGCTGTCCTTAGGCAGAATTTCTTCAGAGAAGCCTCAGCTCTGCTCTTAGCTCTTTTCAACAGTTTGGGTGAGACCCACCAGGATATGTAGGATAATCTCCCTTATATTGAGTCAACTGAAGTAAGGGAGAAAAATGCTTAATCACCAGGAAAAGTTCAACTTCTGTTCCCTCTCCCAGAACATCGGTATAAATGATTAAACAGCTGCCTAAAGTAGGTGAAGGAGAATCTTGTGTGTGGTTGAAGAAAATAAGAATTAAAAAGCAAAAGTGATTTGTGGAACTGGAGAGTTGAGACTGTGGTCTGCTGGAGAGTCCCTCCCAGAACCTTGTTAGGACTCCCAGCTTCATGTCCAGGATCGAAATCAGAGGAAAGGCATTCTACCTAAACCTTCCCCCAAAGCCTCAGGGACTTGTAATATCAGCTGGAGGCTGTTCACTTCAGAGAATGAAACAGGTCTGACCAGCAGCATTCCTGGTGAAGTGCTGTGTGCCCTAACAGGAGCTGCGTGTATGAGTGCAGGAAGGGGCTGCAAGCTCATGTACATCACCTTTTCCCCAAAGGGACCCCACTTCCTAGAGGGCCACCTACTCAGTACTTCCTTTGGAGTTTCCCCCAGGCCCAAAAGTGGATTGCAGAGCAAGTAAGTCCCTGGTGATTCAGTGATGCAGAATGTTCAAGAGTCTACTAGCTGAAAGAGATTTCAAGATGGCAGAATTAGAGCAGGTTGCTTTCCTAACTACTCTGTGGTGTGAAACCAAGAAAGCAGACAGGCAGCTTTCTCAGCAAGGTGGGTGAACGAAAAAAAGCAGGGGGAGACTTTACTGGAGTTTAATACTTGACACTCAAAGCAGACTGGGAACTCAAGAGGTTGTATATAATAAATTAAGGAAGAAATCTCCAGCACCACAGCCACTACTGTAGCTAGAGGTGCCAGCCAGAGTGGTCCTTTCATGAGCACAGTGGAGAGATAAGGGAACTAATGGAACCACATCTTTAGGAGGACTTAGGCATGTCTGGGTACAGAGTTTGAGATCAAAGACACTGCCCAACTAACCTGAAGGGCACGCTACACAATAGCCTTGCACAGGAAAGAAACCACATCTCTCCTGGTGGGGTGCAGAGGACAGAAGGAGGAACCATTTTACAGTCGCGATGCTGGGACCAGCAGTTGAGGGAGCCAAGTCCTAGCAAATCAAGGCTGGCCCAAAATATAGCCTGGCAAACCCACATTGCACAACAGAGTGTGCCTAAGTGACCAGGAGAAAATCAAACGTGAAAAGAGGTTTACACAGGGGACTACTGGTTATGGAAACCTACCCGGCTCTATCCCTCCCTCTCTAATCCGACTGCTTGCAGGACTGGCTGGGAGAGATGCACCTGGCCAGGAATTTGAAAGGGCAGGAGAGACTGAGTTTGGAGACTGAATCTGAGACCAGGAAACTTGATGTCCAAAGGTGGAATCACGCAAGTGGAACCCAGGGTAGATCCTGGAGTGCAGTCTAATAGTGTGGACAGTCTATTCCTGGGCCCTGAGGGTGTGCTGATTTAGAATCTCCTGACCCATTGACATTTGGCAAAGAGCCTGGAGCCTACCTAAACCTAAACCCTGCCTCCAAGAGTTCCGCATACGGGATTACCTCTCACTCCAGTGCCCTAACAGGAGCTGCGTGTATGAGTGCAGGAAGGGGCAAGCATCATACTTCAGACACCCCACCTAAAACTTTTGAGAAGGGAAGCTGAGAATATTTTAGATTCCAACAGAAACAATTCTTTTGACTTTACTTTGATATATATTTTTTTCTTTTCTCTGCTTAATTGTGACCTTTATGGTTCATGGACATTTATACATATTCATATTTTTTTCTTTTCTCATTTCTAGCATTTTTGAAACCAGTTATTTTTCATGGATCAGTTTTTTGAGGACTAAGAATTTTGATTAGTATATTTCAGTTTTGTTTTATATTGTTTTTCAATTTTTAATTTTTCAATTTTTTACTTTATATATTTTTTCTCTCACTTGTTTCCCATGATTCTCTCTTTTCTTCTGCTAATAGCCAATCTCTGTTGTTCTCTCCTTCATGCTTCCTTCAATTTTTTTAACTTCTATTTTCTCTTCTTCTCCCTCATAATCATCACATCCTATATTACTTCTGTTCTCTCCCTATTCACCATTTGAAATTGTAAACCATTTTGCAAACTTACTGTTTTTATTGATGGCAGTAATGTCATTTCTGTTCATTGTGACAACATTGTAGATGTCATAGTAGGAACTGTTTGGTTTAATGTTATGTATATTGTTTGCATTGGTTGTTATTATTATTTGTCACCCCCTAAACAGGGAGATACTGAAAACCTTCAGGTACACTGTAAGTCCACAGGATAGGAATTCTACTGCTTCAGATCCATGTTGTTAGATGGTTAGACATATAAACAACATGAAAAAACAAAGGAATGAATCTTTCCATACAAACCAAGAGACTTCAATAAAAGAATCCATTGCAACCACAGTGGAAGAAATGTCAAGAGAAGGAGTTTAGAATGTAAGGTGAGGGATGATATAAGGAATGATATCCAAGAGAAAATACAAGAAGTGAAAGATCACTTCAATAAAGAGAGTCTGAAAAAAAATCAAGTAGAAATCCTCAAAATGAAGGAATCAGTAAACCAAGTTAAAAATTTAATAGAAAGCATCACCAACAGATTATACCACTTGAAGACAGAGTTTCAGGCAATGAAGACAAAATATATAATCATGAAAATAATGTTGACCATGGAGAAAAGAGGTTAAGAAACTGTGAACAGAACTTCCAAGAAATATGGGATAATCTGAAAAGACCAAATTTAAGATTTATTGGGATGAAGGCTCATAGATACAAACCAAAGGAATGCACAACTTTTTCAATGAAATCAAATCAGAAAATTTCCCAAACCTAAAGAATGAAAAAAAAATCAGATAATGCAGGATGTTTATAGGACTCCAAATACACAGAATTACAACAGATCCACACCAAGGCACATTATTATTGAAAATACCTAACATACAGAATTAGGATAGAATTTTAAAGGCTACCAGAGAAAAATGAAAAGTCACATTTAGAGGGAAACCAATCCAGATCTGAGCTGATTTCTCAACCCAGACACTCAAAGCTAGGAGGTCGTGGAATAATATATATCAAGCTCTGAAAGAAAATGGATAACAGCCAAGAATACTATAGCCAGCAAAATTAAACTTCAGAATTGACGATTAAATAAAACCTTCCATGTTAAATAAATGTTAAAAGAATTCACAACTAGGGCTGGGGTCCTAGCTCAGTGGTAGAGCACTCGCCTAGCATGTGTGAGGCCCTGGATTCGATCCTCAGCACCACATAAAAATGAATAAATAAAGATATTGTATTCAACTAAAAAATAAAATATTAAAAAATCTGCAAGAGAGTCTTCATAGGCAAAGACATCCACAGACTGAAGGTAAAAGAATGGGAGAAAACATTTCACTCACATGGATCTTGTAAACAAGCAGGAGTATCTATCCTCAGATAAAGTGGACTTCAAGTCATAGTTGATTGGAAGGGTCAAAGAAGGCCATTTCATACTGCTTACGGGAATTATACATTGAGAAGATATAATAATTGTAAATATTTTTGCCCCAAACAATGGAGCATATACATACATCAAACCCCTCTCAACTTCAAGAATCGAAGAGCTCAAAATTCAGTAATAAAGGGTGACTTTAACATACTTCTCTCCTCACTGGGTACATCATTTAAACAAAAACTAAATAAAGAAGCTATAGAACTAAAAATATACTAGCTGAAGAACTCCCACCATGGTGAGCTTTTTGTACTTGAAGAGCACCTGCTCACATAAATAGAGCCAGCCCTGAGCAGCTTGCCCCTCCCACCAGCCTCTGCCTCGTAGAGCTATTGGGATGTTCAGGCTAGATTGTTCTCTGGTAAGGGGTTAAGCCTCACACAGGATACAATTTAGTTCCATCCCCATTTTGGGGGGAGGGTACTGGGGATTGATTGAACTCAGGGGCACTGGACCCCGGAGCCACAGCCCAGCCCTATTCTGTATTGTATTTAGAGACAGGGTCTCACTGAGTTGCTTAGTGCCTTGCCATTGCTGAGGCTGGCTTTGAACTTGCAATCCTCCTGTCTCAGCCTCCTGAGCCACTAGGATCATAGGAATGCACCACCATGCCCGGCTCTATTCCCATTTTTTAAGGACACACCAAGCTTGGAAAGTCCTCCAGAGTTTTCAGAAGCTAGATGATGAAGTGATTTCTTTTTCTCTAACAACAGCTGGATGGCATTATGTGCTCTATGGTCCCTCCTCTGACTCCTGGTAAAGGGGATTCTTACTTTGGTATCACCATTTCTGACTCCCCTGGGAGCTGTGGAGACAGCTTTTCAAGGGGCTCTTAGAAATTTCTAAAATATTATTGTCTAGTCCATATTTATTTAGCTACAATGAATGGGTTAAAATATAATAGATCTTAGAGAGTATTATGAAGAGTGTTGCTCTACTACTTTATTAACCCCCTTTTAAAAATGACGTTTTAAAGCTGGGAGTATAGTGCAGTGATAGAGCATATGCTTAGCATGTGCAAGGCTCTGGATTATATCCCTAGTGCCCCCCCAAAATAATAATTGACAGTTTCACTCCCTCCTGACCCTTAGACTCCCAAAGAATAGCTAGAGATACTTGATCAGTAGAACTGCTGTCTGTTTCTGAGGGTATCAAGTCAATTCCGTAAGTCAGAATTTGAAATATGAAAATATTATGATGAAGCACAACTTACATTTTTCTTTTCTCCCGTCTCTCTAATCAGACAGAGTATGAAGTTGCCATTGAGGAGGAACGAAGAGACTGTGGACTATCAATCTTAGAGAGATTCTTCAATGATGAGGTGTTTTCTTCATTAGAATAAAGATTTATATATAACTTACTTAAATAATGAAAGTGCATAACTCTTTTTACTTTGATATTACAAATATGTTAAATGTATTACTTTCTTTCAAATCTTTCTTTTCTGTGGTTTTGTTTGATTGAGTAATGAATTAACAATTAAATCCCTTAAAAAATGATTCAACAAATCGAAACTTTATATGTTTCTTCAACCAGAATGTAGAATTAGAGTTTTATTTGCTTCTCTGGAGTACAAATAACATTTTTTCCTAAAAGCCTTAACAGGTCTTAGTTTTTATTCTTTTTGACTCATGTTATGGTTTGGATGTGAGGTGTCTCCCAAAAGCTCACGTGTGAGACACTGCGAGAGGGTTTAGAGGAGAAATGGTTCGGTTTTGAGAGCCTTAACTCAGTCGATGAATTAATCACCTAGTAGGATTGATGAAGTGGTAATGGAAGGCAAGTGGGGTGTGGATGGAGGACTGAGGCACTGAGGGTGGCTTTGGGGTGGGTGTTTCTATCTGGTGAATGGAGTCTCTCTGCTTCCTGATCATCATGTGAACTGTTTCCCTCTGCCACTCTCTTCTGCCATGTTGTTCACACTCACCTTGAGCCTCAAGGAATGGAGCTGCTGTCTCTGGATTGAGACCTCTGAAACTGTGAGCCCCCAAATAAACTTTTCTTCCTCTACAGTTATTCTGGTTGGGTCTTTCAGTCACAGCAGGAAAAAACTGACTAAAACAACTCACAATATTCTCTCTTTTTTTAAATTTGGGTTTGTGGTACTGGGGATTGAACCCAGGGAGGCTCTACCATTGACTACATCCCCAGCCCCACACCCACTTTTTAAATTTTGAGAGTGGGGCCGAGGTTGTGGCTCAGTGGTATGGTGCTTGCCTAGCATGCATGAGGCACTGGGTTCGATCCCCGGAACCACGTAAAAATAAAATAAAGGTTAAAAAAAAAAAAAAAGATTATTTAAAAAAAATTTTTTTTTGAGATGTGGTCTCACTAAATTGTCCAGGCTGAGCTTGAACTTGTGATCCTCTTGCCTCAGCCTCCCTGATAGTTGGGATTACAGGCATGGGCTGCTGTGCTAGCCTGACTTGCCAAGTTCCTGTTTCCTTTCCTGTGGCTTCTGTTTTGTAGGCTGTTAGAAGTCCTAGATTCTGGAAGGAAAACAGTAATGACATTTCATGAACACTCTAAGTCTTGCAAATGTGACAAATTATAATGAATTTATAGATATAGAGGTTGGGAAATCCAATATCAAGGTACCAGAATCTGGCAGTGGCCTTACTGTGGCATCACATGGCAGAAAGGCAAAGAGAGCAAATGCAGAAAGGGATGCACCTACTTACCAGAGGGCATTAATCCATCCAGGAGCTGCATACCTCTTAAAGGACCCATGTTCCAGTACTGTCACAATGGCAGTTAAATTTCACCATGAGTTTTGTAGAGGTTGGACATTCAAACCATAGCACTTGATGGTAGTGAGAGATGTTCATACACCGTTTCTCTTCCTTTATTTACCATAGGCTGATGGTAAATAAAGGAAGAGAAACGGTGTATGAACATCTCGTCTCCACCTGATGCCTTGCCCTTGTACTTGGTCATCATTGTAGTTGGTCTTTGCTGATCTTTTCTTTAACAACAATAAGAACAAAATCTATTGCTTTTACATACTAAAAATGGGAACTTCTTAAGGTCATTTATTCAAATTTCAGAAACCTAGAATATATAAAATACCAAACGTAAGAACACTGTGTGTTTTCGTTCTTGTATCCTATCACTCATTCTTAGTTTTCTTAGTTTTCATATCAGGTTTCTCAGATATTAAAATTCATCCAGGTTTGAATGTACAATTAAAAGGAATCATGACAAAAAACAGTTGGATTTTGTTGGGAATACAAAATTGGTTCAATAGCCAAAAATGATGTTCTCCTCTGGTATATTGTATTATTGTTACAGGTATTGTGATAGACACAGAAAAAGCATTTGACAAAATCTATATTCTTTGGTAATAAAAGTATTCAACAAACTAGGAATGGAATGGAACTTGCTTGGCCTGGTAAAGGATATCTATGAAATACCCTCAGCTAACATCTTACTTCAGGGTGACAGACTGTATCCTCTAGGGCTGGGGCTGGGGCTCAGTGGTAGAGTGTTTGCCTTGAATGTGTGAGGTACTGGGTTCGATCCTCAGTACCACATAAAAATAAATAAATAAAATAAAGATATTGTGTCCATCTACAATTTAAAAAAATTTAAAAAGATCAGGTGTTCTACTCTAAGATTAGGAACAAGATGAGCTTTCCAGTTCTCACCACGTCTATTGAATGAAGCTGTGACAGGATATCCCATTGTACACACATAAAGAAAAAGATACTAGAGCTAATAAATGAGTCTGTAATGATTGCAGGATACTAGATCACTGTCCAAAATTCTACTGTATTCTTGTACACTAGCAATTAAAATCCCAAAAACTAAATTAAGAAATTCCATTTATATTTTCTTCAAAAATATTTAAGAATGAATATAACAAAATGAAACATTTGCTTACTAAAACCACAAATCATTGAAAAATTACAGATGATCTAAATGAATGGATAAATATTCCATGTTCATGGATCAAAAGTCTTAATATTGTTAACATGGCAATACTCTCCAAATGGATATACAGGTTTGAAAGAATGATCAATGCTTGTTGGTTGGTGGTATTGGGTGGGAGAGGTTTTACCTCTATGATGGATGAGAGGGAAAGGACAGCATACCCCGCCACTTTAACCCCTTCGTGTATAAAGGAGCTACCATCTGAGAACCAGACAGGTCCAAAGAGGGCAGGGGTCCCTCAGAAATGGTGGTAGGGCAGGGTAAAATCGTCTCTAATACCTCCAGGCATTTGTGGAGAGGATCTTGTGAGGGAGAAGATGGGAGGAGGAAGGCAGTGTTTAATGAAGAGCAGGACTGAAAAGAGATGGAGGGATTTTCAAGGAATGAGACAAGGAGGGATAGAACCCTGGAAGGAGGAAGTGACTGTAGCCCCTTGAAAGTGAGGAAGTCCTCACCATCTAGTGAGGAGATGAGATGGTTAGCGGGGAGGCAAAGGTAAGCTTGTGTGCTTCTTTCTGGAGGTCATGGGCCGCTGCTAGGGCTCTGAGGCATGGGGGCCAGCTGATGGTGGGGTCGATCTGTTTGGATAGGTAGGCCACTGGTGCAAATGTGGGGCCATATTCCTGACCCAGAATGCCCAGACTTTGCCCCTGTTTTTCATGTACATAGAGGGTGAAGGGTCAGGAGAGGTCGGGGAGATGCAGGGCGGGTGCCCAGAGGAGGGCCTTTTTGTAAAGGGCTTCCCTACTGCTGAGGGTAGGGGTTCATCTTGGGGGCCCTCGGCTAGATTATATAGTGGCCTGGCGAGGAGGGAGAAATTCAAAAGTAATCCAGGCCCTGAAGTACCCAGCCAAACCCAAGAAGGAGAGTCATCTTTGGTCTTTAGTGTCTTTAGACCCAGTAAGTTGTTTTCTGTCTACTGTAATGGCCTTTTTCCCTTGAGAAATAGAGAACCCTAGATAGTGACCTCTTTACATACTATTTGGGCCTTTTGTGGAGAGGCCCGATATCCCTTTAAGGCCAAGAAATTAAGTAGGAGAACTGTGTCATCTGTTGAGTGCCCTTTGGACAGGCTACAAAGGAGAAGATCATCAACATATTGCAAGAGGGTGGATTTGGGGCACTGGGGGTGAAAAAATTGGAGGTCGGAGGCCAAGGTTTGTCCAAAGAGGTGTGGACTATCTCGAAATCCCTGAGGAAGGACAGTCCAGGTTAGTTGTGGAGAATGTCTGGTGGTGGGATCTGTCCAGGTAAAGGCAAAAAGATCTTGTGATTCGGGGGCAAGGGGAATGGAGAAGAAAGCATCCTTTAAATCTATGACCGAGAAGTGGGTGGCAGTGTGGGGGATCTGAGACAGCAGGGTGTATGGGTTGGGAACCAAAGGATGTATGGGCCTAACGGAGGTGTTGATGAGTCTAAGCCGGAACTAAGCGATAGGACCCATTGGGATTTCTTCCGCTAGTATGGGAGTATTGTAAGGGGAATGAGCAGGATGGAGGTACCTCTTGCTAAGAAGGTCCTGAATAATAGGTTGTAGGCCCAGAAGAGCTTTTGTGGACAGGGGATATTGAGCCTGATTGGGGAAGGTGTTAGGATCTTTGAGATGAATGTTAACTGGTGGGCAGGAAACGGTGGAGGGGGTGTGGGTATCCCATACAGTTGGGTCAACCAGGTTCGTAGGGAAGGGATCCTTTTTCATGTCAGTCTCACAAGTGGAGCAGAATGGCCAGTCTTCTGCCAAAAGGGCCCGAAAAGATGAACAGGCCGATTCTGGGGCCTGATTGATGCCAGGAGCCCGGATGTTGATTGTTGTATTAAATTTAGAGAGAATATCTCGGCCGAGCAAAGGAGCTGGACATTGAGGCATAACTACAAACGTCTGAGAGACTGGGAAGTTGTCTATGGAACAGAGTAATAGGGGAATCTTTTTTGGATGGATGGTCCTTCCTCCTACCCCGACAATAGGAGAGATAGACGGCACTGTTTGCCCCCAGAATTCTGTCAGGACTGAGAAAGTAGCCCTGGTGTCAAGGAGAAAGTCAACCTTGCCCGCATCCACCTGAATCCACACCCTGGGTTCTTAATTGTTACGGCCGGCCAGGGACAAGGACCCAAGGCTCTGTCAATCTTTGATTTGTATGCCCAGAAGGTCAGAGGATTCCCTGGCTATAGGCTTCCTACGGAATCTAGGACAGTCAGAACCCCAATGACCTTGTTCTTTCAAGGTTCAGTACAACCCCTATCAAAATTCTAGCTGCCTATTTTGTAGAAATTAGGAAGCTGATTTTTTTAAAATTTTGAATTCATATGAACATTCAAAGGACACAGAATAGTTTTAATATTCTTGAAAAAAACAGGAGTCACACTTTTTAATTTCAAAACTTAATGCAAAGCTACAATAATCAAGACAATGAGGTACTTAGATAAGAATAGACATACAAGTCAATGGCATAGAATTGAGAGTCCAGAAATAAACCTATACATTTATAGTCACAGGGCTTCTGATATGGGTGCCAAGACAGTTCAGTGAGCAGAAGAAGAGTCTTTTCAACAATTGGATCCGGAACAACTGGATATTGTTGAAAATGAGATTGGACCCTTACCTCAAACCATAAATAAATAATGCCATATAGATAAAGATCTAAATGTAAGAACTAAAAACTATACAGCTTTCTAATATTCAGGTATATTAAGGACTCTTACAACTCAACAATAAAAACACAACCCATTTCAATTAAAGCTCGAGAAGTCCTACTTGGCTGTGTGAAGCCTCAGACCAGTTGCACTGCATGGTAACTTACTGTGCTATGCATTAGCTTACCTTATCTCTCTGTTCCTCGATTTGGGAGGCATGGCTGTTCCTTTTTTTGGGAATGAATATCTATTAATGTAAAGCGTTTCTAAGATCAAAAATAGTCTTTATTTGAAGTTAATCATTGAACAGTCTTTTTTAATTTGTTCTACTTAGTTGTATACAACAGATGAATGCATTTTAATTCATCATACACAAATGGAGCACAACATTTCAATTCTCTAGTTGTACATGGTGTAGAGTCACACCATTTGTGCATCATACATGTACCTAGGGTAATAATGTCCATCTCCTTTGCTGTCTTTCCTACCCTCATAAACCCTCCTCAGCCTCCCCTTTGCCCTATCCAAAGAACCTCCATTCTTCCCATGCCCTGCCCCCTATCATAGATCAGCATCCACTAATCAGAGAAAACATCCAGCCTTTAGGGTTTGGGGATTGGCTTACTTCGCTTAACCAATAAAAATAAATAAATTTAAAAAAATATATAATGTTCTCCAGCTCCATCCATTTACCTGCAAATGCCACCATATTATTCTCTTTTAATGCTGACTAATATTCCATTGTGTATATGTACCACAGTTTCTTTATTCATTCATCTACTGATGGACATCTAGGTTGGTTTTACAGTTTAGCTATTGTGAATTTAGCTGCTATAGACATTGGTGTGGCTATGTCACTATAGTATGCTGATTTTAAGTCCTTTGGGTATAGACTGAGGAGTGGGATAACTAGGTCAAATGATGGTTCCATTCCAAGTTTTCTGAGGAATTACCACACTGCTTTCCAGATTGGTTGCACCAATTTGCAGTCCCACCAGCAATGTATGAGTGTGCCTTTCTCCCCACACCCTCACCAACACTTATTATCACTTGTATTCTTGATAGCTGCCATTCTGACTGGGGTGAGATGATATCTTAGAGAGCAGTTTTGATTTGCATTTCTCTGATTACTAAAGATATTGAATACTTTTTCATATATTTATTGATTGCAGGTGTGTCTTCTTCTGAGAAGTGTCTGTTCAGTTCCTTAGCCTATTTATTGTTTGGGTTGTTTGGGGGGTATTAAGTCTTTTTTTTTTTTAAAGAGAGAGAGAGAAAGAGAGAGAGAGAATTTTAATATTTATTTTTTAATTTTCGGCGGACACAACATCTTTGTTTGTATGTGGTGCTGAGGATCGAACCCGGGCCGCACGCATGCCAGGCGAGCGCGCTACCGCTTGAGCCACATCCCCAGTCCATGTCTTTTGAGTTCTTTATATATCCTGGAGATTAGTGCACCGTCTGGTATGTGTGTGGCAAAAACCTGCTCCCACACTGTAGGCTCTCTGTTCAGCTCAATGATGTTTGTTTTGCTGAGAAGAAGTTTTTTAGTTTGAATCCATCCCATTTATTAATTCTTGATTTTATTTCTTGTGCTTTAAGAGTCTTTTTAAGGAAGTTGGGGCCTAATCTGACGTGATGGAGATTTGAGCCTGTTTTTTCTTCTATTGGGTGCAGGTTCTCTAGTCTCTGGTCTTCTATTATGTGCAGGTTCTCTGGTAATAATGTTCAGGTCCTTGATCCACTTTGAGTTGAGTTTTGTGCATGGTGAGAGACAGGTTTAATTTCATTTCACTGCATTTGGATTTCCAGTTTCTGAGCACCATTTGTTGAAGAGGCTATCCTTTCTCCAGTATATGTTTTTGGTGCCTTTGTTTAGTATGAGATAACTGTATTTATGTGGATTTAAAATTTTATATTAAGGGACTGGGGTTGTAGCTCAGTGGTAGATCATTTGCCTTGCATGTGTGAGGCACTGGGTTCGAAACGTAGCACCACATAAAAATAAATAAAGATATCTATTATTTAAAGACTCTGTATTAATGCTTAAAAAATAAAAAAGGACTGAGGATACAGCTCAGAGTGCCCCTGGGTTCAATTCTAGTACCACAAAAAACAAAAAGATATTAGTGATCCTTTCTGAGCCGGTGAGGTGCCATGCTCCTGTAGCTCTAGCTATTTGAGAGGCCAGGTAGGAGGATCGCTTGAGTCTCTAAACTTGAGGCCAGCTTGGGCAACATAGCAAAACCCTGATATCATCACCCCTCTGCTTGCTGTCTCTGTCATTTTGACTACCATGGTCATCTTACATATGAAATCATATAGTGTTAGTCTTTTCGTCACTTATTTGAGTGAGCAGGATTTTGTCAAGATTCATCATATTGTAGCATGTGTCAGAATGCTCTTTCTTTGTGTGGGCCTGGGCGTTGAGCCCAGGCCCTCATGCATACTCAGCAAGAGTTCTGCCACTGAGCTATAGCCCAACATTTGAAAGTCCTTCCTTTTTAAGGCTGCATGCATATGCCACATTTTATTCATCCATTTGTGGAAACCCGGATTGTTTCCACCTTGGGCTAATGTGAGTAATGCATATTCTTCTTCAAGGCTCTGTTTTCCATTCTGAATTTTTTTCTTAGGGGCTGGGGATTGAACCCAGGTTCTCACGCTGATGAGGTAAGTGCCTGCCACTGAGCCGCACCCCCTAGCCCTCATTCTGGACATATCTGGAGTGCAGAGGAATGGGTCTGAAAAGGCAGGCAGCAGGCTGAACTCTGGAGAGCAGGACTGGGGTGGGGGATTTGTTATTTCATACACTTTATGTTTTCACTTTTTAATAGTAGGCTTGTAGGTTCTTCTTACAATTGGTCAGCTGTGAAATTACTAATTGTTATGTGTTTGGTTTGTGCTATATTGAGAAGAAAGAAGCCCTTTTACCAGAAATACCTCCAGATATTGTGAGGCACTGTAGATGGAGTCTGAAACAGAACCCCTCCAAAGATGTCTTTGAGGAATGCACTAGGTAAGAGGTTCATGCCCATCCCCAAGCATATTGTCTGTGGGTATACCCAGGACAGAGGACTGACGGGAGTCTTCTCTGCATGGACAAGTTCTTATAAGAGTATTTTCCAAATTAAAATGACCACTTTCCCTAGAAGGAATGACTATGGGGTGATGATGACATGTATGTGAGTGGTGCTGAAGAGGGTCATGTGGTGGAGACTGTGTCCTAGCAGCCCTGGGATAGCTCTGGACATCTCTGCGCTGCCTTGAAGAATGCCATCTCATTTTGTGTAAGCACACTTGATGGTATTCAGATGATGATGAAATAACATCAGAGTGTGGGCACATTGCTAAGTGACTCATGACCACTTTTAAGATCTTTTCCTATGTATTTTTAATGCCCAAAGAGTTTTCAAAACCTTATCTTACATCGGTCTTACATTGATGTTGCAAGTGGGCACCAAAACTCAGGGAGTTGAATTTGCTCATTTATTCATTCAACAAATAATTTATTTTATTAAGGGCATCTATTACTAAGGTCTACTCTAAGTAAAAATTTTATTATTTCTATAACTAAATTGTAAATAAAATCTAAGAGGCATGACTAATCTCATAAAATTTCTTCAAGAAGGTTTGGGGATGTGGCCCAGTGGTAGAGCACTTGCTAAGCGTGTATGAGGCCCTGGGTTCAGGCACCACAACCAACAACAAATAATAACAACGATAAGGAAGAAAGGAAAAAAGAAATGTGTAGCCTAAAGTAATTTATTGGGTATTTTATATTCAGTTTCAGATGTGTCACATATTAACATTTTCTACCAAATAACTATAATCATTCTGATATTTGCTTGCTTTAGTGTTGTGGCTCTTTTTTTGTTTTTTGTTTTTTTCAAGTCCTGGGGAATGAATCCAGAGGCACTTTACCACTGAGCTAAATCCTGAGCCCCTTTTTAAATTTCTTTTCTTTCAAGATGGGTCTGAGTTGCTCAGACTAGCCTCAAACTTGCCATCCTCCTGGCTCAGCCTCCCAAGTAGCTGGGCTTACAGGAGTATGCACTGACTCCGGCCCACTTTAGTCTTATTTACAAAAGGTTTGACTTTTGTAAATTGTGCATGAAACACATACATGCACACACCTTGAATGCATTTTAAACTCTTGTCTTACTAATAGTATATTTTTTAATTGTTATTATTTTTCCTATGTCCATATATGCAAGAAAAAAATGACTTAAGATGGGAGGGTAAAGTGATTTCATGTCTTTTAAATTCTTCCTATTTTCAGTGATGGCACTGGAATTCATTGTGAATTTCTGTAATAGCAATTGTATACTGAATTGTGTATAATGATGGACCGTTCCATATTCTGTGTTAGTGTACTGAGACATAGATGTTTTCATGTTTTTACACAACAAATGTATATAATTACATAAACTCTTTTTCTAGAGTTGTCCATAACTATTTGAGTAAAGATCCATTTGAAGAATATCAAGAAAGCCCTTATTTTTCCCAATTTCTGCAATGGAAGTGGCTAGAAAGGTATGTTTTAATTTAAAACTCAATAGAAACAAGTAGTTACTTCTAATAATGCGTACTGATTGAGGTCTACTTTTCTATCTGTCAAAACACTACTGTAAATTCTGAGTTATATATGGCATTTTTACACAGAAATTATTAACAGGTATAATATTACATAATTTCTTTTGAGTCAATGAACTCTAGTTTCACTTTTTAAAGTAGCAGTCCTGTTGGTACAGTGGTTAGAAAATAAAACATCCTAGACTTATAATAATATAATATGATGGTTGAAACTGCAATCTAGGCTCCTGCTCAGCCTCTTGCTAGCTGTGACCTCAGGCAAGTAACTTAACCATTGTGAGCTTCAGAACTTGCCCTGTTGGGCTATTGTTAGAATCATCTGGGAAATGCATGTGAAATGTTTAGCCCAGTTTGGGCACACAGAATTAGTGCCCTGACAGTGCTATTATGATCACTGTTATTGTTACTGAGATTATTGTTTTCCAGTTGCAGTTCACATGCTTCTTTTGGAACATTGGGTATAAATGTTTTTGAGGTTCTTTATTCAGAGGACAATGTGCTATGTTTATGCATTTTCCCTAGCAGCTCTCTGGCAGGTTCAGAGGTATGCCTGAGATAGTGCCATGAGTTTAAACATGAGTATTTCCTAGTGTGGGCTGCTTGCAGACCTGTCTTCAGTTAGAAAGGATGACTGGACTGCTCTGCATCTTGCATTAGTGTTTTCAACAAATCTGAATTACACTTGTCTCTATGAATGCAGTTCCCAAGAGGGAGCGCCTCGGTGCTGAAGCCCTGATGCCTTGGTTCTGGGCTTTCCTGGGGAGCACAGTTGGTCACCAAATATGGCTGGCCTGGGAGCTGCTAGGCTTCTGTGTTTTAAAATAACATCATGTATGATATAAGACCTGAAACCTTTTTTTTAATTGATTAGGCAACCAGTAACTAAGAAGACGTTTAGACATTACAGAGTTCTAGGAAAAGGTGGATTTGGAGAGGTGAGTGATATGGGCCAGTTATGAGCAGTACGTTTGTTCTAGACAGGTGGGCAACCACGTCATTGGAAGACAGGAGCTTCAGGTAAGGTGTCAACTTTACCACTATATTTATTTCCTTGCTGTGTGTTTTGGTAATTAGTTAACCAATCCTGAGAATGGAGATAAAAGTTTGAGCAAAAAAATACTTTGCTACAAGCTTTTAAGAAATCCCTCACCTTTTTGACTTCCTATTTTTAAAGGAAGCTGTTTTCCTGTGCTTAATTTTCAAGTTGAGGCAGTTTGTCCAAATTGAAAGATAATTATTTCTATAATGTGAATTTTTTATTATTCTATTTCTATAAATTAGGAGTAGCCCTAAAATTCAGATAATTCAGAGTACTTTTTTTTTTTTTTTTTAAGAAGTATGGTGTCACTCTGTTGTCTGCTGTCCACAAATTCATGGGCTCAATTGATCCTTCTGCCTCAGCCTCTCTAGTAGCTGGGACTCTAGGTACCAGCCACCTCACCTGGCCAGAGTACATCATTAAATACTTACTTAACTCATCTGTTTCAAAGGTGACATGTGCCAGTTAATGAAAAGTACCATTGGTGACACTGTTGAATGTGAGCACTTTCAGTCAGGAGTAGGGAGAGCCATCAGGGAACTAACCCTGTGTGTTCAAGTCAGAAGTAGGTCACACTGTCCACATGTGATATAAACCATGCATGCTCCCAAATTTCAGAATAAGGCAAAAGCCACCAACACTGCCTTTAAATCAGTCAGGGAGCTGGCCCAAGAGTGAGGCACTACAGTGAGGTGTTGCATACTTGCATTTTGATACACAGTAAGAAACTGGCTGGCACAGTCATCCCTTCCGGAGCAATCTGACAGTTCTGTGGAACTCGTGGAAGAGTGGCGTGGCCCTTTATGTAGGTGGTGTGTTGACAGTGTTCCCTGTTGGGATGCACCCTAGAACCTGAGATTCATTTCCTCTCTTCAGCTCATGCTGTTTTGCCTTTCATAATCTTCAACTACAGAGGCTCAGATTTTGTCAAAGAACAGAAGAAAAGAACTTTTAGGGACCTGGGTCTCTGTGAGTGTTTTTGCTTTTTGTTGGTACTAGGGATTGAACCCAGGGGCACTGTACCCCTGAATCACATTTCAGCCATTTTTATCTTGAGACAGCATTTCGCTAAGTTGCTGAGGCTGATATTGAACTTGTGATCCTCCTGCCTCAGCTTCCAAAGTCGCTGGGATTACAGGCATGTGCCACTGCACCCAGCTGGGTCTCTGTGTTTACAAAAGAGTGAAGTTCTGGGCTGGGGCTGGGGCTCAGTAGTGGAGCACTTGCCTGGCACACGTGAGGCACTGGGTTCTATCCTCAGCATCACATAAAAGTAAATAAATAAAATAAACTTATTGTGTCCACCTACAACTAAAATAAATAATTATAGCCTCATCTAAGATTTTAAATGAACTAAAAAGGAGCATGTTAGCAAATTGTAACCACTGGGAAAGACAGGATGTATTTATGATATTTTAGATTAGTTTTGAACACATTTCCTTGGGTTTCCAGACAAATGGTAGGATAGACAAATCAACCATGGTGACTCTTCGTAGACTTGTTCTGGATGAGTTGTGTTCTAAGTCGGGGTCGTGAGCAGTCTTTCTACTTTCATGCCTGTCAGGAGGGCCTTTCAGCCCTGGGTCCAGTAGTGCATTTATTTGCTTTTTCCAGATGTTAACACCTCTTCCAGAGAGTTTGAAAAAACAAAAATAATTTTTTTATCTTGTCAACAGTAATTCTCTTATGTTTGCTTTTATTTTGGGGGGGGGCGGGTACCAGGGATTGAACTCAGGGGCACTTGACTACTGAGCCACATCTCAGCCCTTTTTTGTATTTTATTTAGAGAGAGAATCTCATTGAGCACCTCACTTTTGCTGAGCCTGGTTTTGAACATGTGATCCTCCAGCCTCGGCCTCCTGAGCCATGGGATCCCAGGCCTGCACTCTGCTGTCAGCTCTTGCGTGTGTTTTAAGTTCTTTCAATCAATCTGTGGGTCCTGAGGCAGGCACAGTGGAAAGGGATTGGGCCAACAGTTGGTTTGGGAGGTAGCATGGTGCAGGGGAAAGAGCACAGACTGCAGAGCTACATGGCCTGGGGTCAAGGTCCTGACCTATCACAGTCAGCTCTGTGGTCTTGCTCTCTGCCTTCACATCATCCTCTGAGGGGGAGTGACAGCTGAGTTGTTGAGAGGAGCAGAAGAGCACTGTGACTTTTGTCAACAGTGCCCGATGCTCTGATCTGCTTTCCCTTCCCTTCCTCTGATCTGGCAATTCCACCTGGAGAGATTTATCTAACATTACTTCTAAGGATATGCAGAGAGTTACATGCCGAAACAATCGTAGGAAAATTGTTAAACGAAATTTGGAATAGTCTTATTCTTGGAGAATATTTAATGATGGGAAAATGGTAACACTGTTAGATATAAAAAGGGTGTTATTATTTATTCCATAACATGAGCCAGTTCTGTCCTAAAAGGCAGGGAAGTAGGGAGTGAAGTCCATATCCTTGGATATACATGTACAGAGATGAACCTGGAAGCCTGCACAGCAATGTTAGTGATATTTATCTTGGAGGTCAGGCAAGTTGCTAATATCACTGTCCTTATGACTTCAAGCACTTTCCACAATGTCGGATAAAATTATATCATGTCTTATATTTGCTTTTGTGGTAATCTCTGCAGTGGGTACATGTGGTGTGAGTGTGTCTGTGTGGTACATGTGTGTCTGTGGTGTGCAGTGCTTGGGAGTCAAGAGGACATACAATGGCTATAGTATGTTGATAAGCAGAAGCTGATTTTGTTTTAAAATGTTCGTGATATAAAGTTAAGATAATTCATAAATATTACTTTAAGAACCAAATAAATAGAATAAAGGTATGAAAATCTGAATTCTGTGAAACACATTTCCTTATTGAACATTTTTTGTTTTTGTTCTTGAGATGGAGTCTTGCTATGTTGCCCAGGCTGGCCTTGAACTCCTGGGCTTGAGCAATCCTCCTACCTCAGCTTCACAAGTAGCTGGAATCACCTTGAATATTTTTTGGTAGTACTGGTGATTGAACCCAGAGCCCAGCACATGTTAGGCAAGTACTCCACCACTGAGCTACATCTCAGCCCTTTTTAAATTTTATTTTGATGGAGAGTTTCATTACATTGTCAAGGTTAACCTTGAACTTGTGATACTTCTGCCTCAGCCTCCCAGGTAGCTAGTTTACAGGTGTGCACTACCATGCCCAGATCCAGCCTTGAACTTCTTTTTTTTAATAAATAAATATTTATTTATGTATCTTTAGTTTTAGGTGGATACATTAGTTTGTTTTTATGTGCTTCATGCATGCTAGGTGAGCACTCTACCACTGAGCCACCACCCCTGCCCCCAGCCTTGAACTTCTTAACTTAAAAAAGTTAAGAATCTTCTTTTTTTAAAAAAAAAAGAGAGATAGAGAGAGAGAGAGAATTTTTTAATATTTATTTTTTTAGTTTTCGGCAGACACAACATCTTTGTTTGTATGTGGTGCTGAGGATCGAACCCGGGCCGCACGCATGCCAGGCGAGCGCACTACCGCTTGAGCCACATCCCCAGCCCAAGAATCTTCTTAATTTTGTATTTTAAAATATAAAAAGCAAAATAGATATATGGGGACATATTTAAACTAAACAGATTAACATGCCACACATGAACAAGTTCCATATAAAAACATGGCATTACATTCACTTGACTAGGCAGCCTCTCACCATGAGAAGCTAGGATAAGAGATGAAGAACCAATTTGAAAGCTCAGTGTATCTTAGGCTGTTGCAGGAAACAGACTGTTCAAGAAGCGGCAAGCAGCTGGAAGACAACTCAAACTTCATTCCAGAAGATCATCCAGAGATCAGACTCCAAATTCTAAGCATCCATCACCAGTTTTTCACAACATTTATAGGCTATCTAGTGTCATAAATTTTCTAGTCTAAATGTGGTTGTGCGTGGGTTTCAAGTGGGAAGCAAGAGTGTGATAAAAAGAAGAACTGTCTGTTTGTACTAGGCCTCTCTAGCCTTGGGCCTGGAGCCTCCACTAGGGTTTACACTTCAAAGGCATTTGCACCTCAGAGGGAAGTAGTTAGATCTTAGGGAAAGTCATTTCCAGTTCAAAAGATAGGAGTGGAAGATGCCGATCAAGTTTCCTGAAGACTGGCTGACTAGAAAGGGGAGGGGAACTCTCCCTTTCCAGGGCACTAATTCTGATGACATTATTAAGATAATTTATTTTGCATCCAGGCAGAGGGTAGTTACCCATTACTAGGGCATGCTGGTATGCACTTATAATCCCTGCTACACAAGTGCAAGGCCAGCCTGGGCAAATAAGACCAGTCACAAGATAAAAACATCCAAGTCCTGGGGATGTGGCCCAGTGTAGTGTTTGCCTGGTGTGAGGGAGTCCCTGGTTCTGTCCCAATACTGCAAAAACAAAAGGAACCATGTGATATGTTCACAACTGAAATGCCCTTGGCTTCTCAGGTTTTGTTTCTGAACTTTACTAGAGAGGGTTATCACAGAATAAACAGGTTTTGTGTGTGTGTGTGCGTGTGTGTGTGCGTGCGTGTGCGCCCCAAGAATCACAGTTGTACATAAACCTTTTCTTTGTTTAAACTAGGTTTGTGCCTGTCAGGTACGAGCTACAGGAAAAATGTATGCCTGCAAAAAGCTAGAAAAAAAAAGAATAAAAAAGAGGAAAGGTGAAGCTATGGCTCTGAATGAAAAAAGAATCCTAGAAAAAGTGCACAGTCGATTTGTAGTAAGTACCTTCTTTAGGGAGCGATAGAGAACTGAGTTGCCACAAGAGGTCAGACACTCACTGCCAAGGCCAACGGAAGGAAGGGTATGCCACTGAACCTGGCGGCAAGCCCACCTGGTGGGCAGTCCACCTCTCTTATCCCCCTTTTTGCCCTGATCGGAGGAGCTCAAGGTTGCAATCTATTGACTGGCTAATCTTAATTAAAATGGCTGCAACTGGAGCTTATGTTCCAGTTAAGGCTAAATGCTACATTCTGAAAACGAGCCACCCGACTTACTGTTTCTCAACCCTGTACCATATATTGTAGGCTGTAAGCTCCTGTTGGAGCCCTGGATCATGCACTGTGCTTCTCAGTGGAGTTTATTTGGGGCTTGCTGTCCAGTGGAAGGGAGAGTTTGTCTTCCTTATGCAGATCTTGCGCAGAGCGGTGTTGATCCTGCTGCCAGCTGTGTCTTTCTTTCTGTTGCTGCCATCCATTCTACTCTCAGCCCCTCTTCACTTTTGTATAGAGGTTTACTGTCCCCTCAGTTACCTTGGCATTTTCTGGTGGCATGCCCTCTCCTTCCTTGGATGGCCTCCAGCTAGCTGCTCTGATCCACGTAGGGCATAGTGATGTGAATGTGCTGAAAATACTCTTTAGCCCTTCTCCCATCTGGGCCTTCTCTGTGGCTCAGTCTCTCTTCCATCTCTTTGCCTTTTATGATTCCTTGTGTGTTTATCACTAGACCCTCACTAGTGTACCCCAGTCACACCAAGCCCAGAGTTCCACCTTCATGGTTGCAGGTACGGCTTGATCAGGGCAGGCTGGAATCAGGTGCCTCCAGGCCCCAGCTGTGCTGTCATTGTGTGCTGCAGCGTCCTGTCCAAGCCGAGTTTCCTCCACCTGCTGACACATTCCTGCAGCCTCTACTGCAGTACACAGGCTAGTGAAAAGGGAGAGTTTGAAAAATAATTTCTAAAATGACTTAGAATATTGAGTTATTTCCTCAAAGTCATTTGTTTCTTAGCACTGGAGTCAGCTGATTTACAATGAGGGACAAATTCCTTCACAGCCCACATCTGAATTTAGTGCACATGTGCGTTGGTATGTGTAGTGTGTCAGTTTCATATATGCAATTACATGAAAATCTTTAATAAAATGGGCTTTCGCTTTAAACATGTGTAACTGAAACCAGAGACTAGATTCCCCACTTTGCCAATTTCCTTCTGGGTTCTTTTTTTTTTTTTTTAGTTGTAGTCGGACACAACACCTTTATTTCACTTATTTATTTTTATGTGGTGCTGAGGGTAGAACCCAGGGTCCCGCACATGTGAGGCGAGCGCTCTACGGCTGAGCCACAACCCCAGCCCTCCTTCTGGGTTCTTGTCTCGAAAAAGTATCAAGGCTATTGGCTGTATCCTTTAGCCTGGGTTTTAATTCTTCCTCTAAGTCCCACTGGGGTTCACTCCTACTATTTTCCCCTGCCTTTCTAGAACAAAGGAGTTGGTCGGAGTGTTCCCGCAGGTGAGCTTCATACAGAGAAGGGTCCCAGGAGTTCCCAGAGGAAAGGGGGAGCTCAATTTGGGACCATTGTGCTTCTTGTTGGAAAAAAGTTTCAGCACGAGCCAAAGTCATAGACAGGTTTATTTAGTAAGGTAGACACACATTCAAGGGAGAACGTGGGCTGTCTGGAGAGTGAGAAGCAACCTGACTTGGACTTGGGGGTCCAGTACTTACAGAGGCTGTCTCTGGGGCCACACTGGAAGTGGATCCAGGGTAGAGCTGCACAATTTTGTGCCAGTTTTACCTATGTCTGAGTATTTTCCTCATTTTATAAGGAGAACTGTGCTTTCTACATCTCAATGGCTTGTGGATGTTTCCTTTAAGATTCAGTTTTCTCTTTCTTTATCCTAAATCCTTGGTGCCCATTAATATTTTTAAGGGTTAGCCTCCTGGCATAGTCTCTTTCTTTGTATAAGACCTTAATTGGGGCCCATTGCCTGACCATTTCTAATTGGATTCTTAACCATACAGTCTTATAGGCTTTACGGTTAGAAGGAATTATCCTTATCTCCCTGAGTTTTGGGATCTGATCTCTGAAAAGAAGTCTCCCCCTTCAGAGTAACTTGGGTTCCTCTTATCAACATTATTTCTGGTCTGCATTTCTCCTGCAGATAACAGGTAATTTGCTGAGGGATGTGACAAACCTGTCCACTTAAGCCTGGCAGAGCTGTAGATGAATTGCTTCTTTGAAAAGAAAGCATGTGGGCATCAACACAGTGGGTGCATCTTATAGAATTATTCCCTTAACCATGTGTTCTGTTCCCTCTGCTCATGTCTGCCTCCTATCATAACTCCCTTGAAACATAGAAATCCCAAATCTAGTTTTATGAAGGGGACATAGTAATAGTCACAGTTTATTCCACTTAACAATTTAGTTTCTGTAGTGTTGGGCCTTCCCAAGGAACTTAGAAATATTTTCCACCAGCCTTACACAGATTACAAAGATCAGCAACACAGAATGTGGGAAGGGTGGGAGCTGTGGGATCGCTCTTGCATGGAGGGTCACTTGCATGCTGAATGCAGCACTGCAGACATTCCCATGCTGGTGCTGAGGCCAGGAGAGCCCAGCACACAATACAGGTGTCTTTAAAGCTTTGCCATTTCCTTATTCACACCTAGAAAGTTCTCTCCTCTCAACGCAGAGCTGCTGCAGTAAGACCTCTGAGAGGCACATTATGTAGGGGACCCATTTCTCTAAAGCATGTAGTAGCTTGGTGTTCTAGTTACAAATCCAGCATGGATAATTGGAATACTGTTAGCAATTAGACCAAGTCACCAATGAATCAGGAGACTTTTTGTGTTTTATTTTTTTATGATGCTGTGTCTTTAGGTTGGTTTAGCCTACACTTACGAAACCAGAGATACCTTGTGTTTGGTGCTAACCATCATGAATGGAGGGGATCTGAAATTCCACATTTACAACCTGGGAAGTCCTGGCTTTGATGAGCAAAGAGCTGTTTTCTATGCTGCAGAGGTGTGCTGTGGCTTGGAAGATTTACAGAAGGAAAGAATTGTGTACAGGTAAGAGTGGTGCAATATAATGGGGCTTGCGACCTTTCAAGCTATTCCCTGCAGGCCTTGGGCTTCACACTGGCTGCTATGGGCTGGACAAGGTGCAGCTGGGAGTCCCTGGACAGCAGTTCTCAGGGGTGGTCCCTCACACTGTGGGAAATGTGGGCAGTCAGAGACATGTTTGCTTTTCTTTTTAGTTTCTCGTCAATCTCGTTATGTCTTTCTGAAGCAGAAGTTTGCTTTTTACTAAATTGATCTGATAATGGTAGTGGTGCTCCTATAAGCATGAGAAAATTCATCCCAACTGGGATGTTTTGACAGTGCTGATAATGGTCACAGGGCTGGAGGCCCCAATTCTTGTGATCAAGTCAAAGGTTTTAGCCACATCACTCAGAGTAATAGCCATGAGTTTATTTAGGGGACAGGAGAAGGGAAAGGGAACATTCTCAAGGGAGAGAGTGAGTCCTTTCAGAAAGAACAGGAGCCACGTGCTTCTCCTGCACTCCAGAGAACTTTCCAGAGTCCCACTCAGGTCTGCCTCTTAACTTTTTCCTGACAATAAGGATGACATTAGACTCAAGTGCCTGCTGCCATGGCAACTCTAGGTCCCTTTGGCCCGTGCTGGTCGGTTCTAATTGGATTCTTTTTTTATTATTTTCTATATTTTTAGTTGTAGCTGGACACAATATATTTATTTATTTATTTTTTATTTATTATTACCTTTTTTAGTTGTAGATGAACACAATACCTTTGTTTAATTTATTTATTTTTATGTGGTGCTGAGGATTGAACTCACACATACCAGGCAAACACTTCACTGAGCTACAACCCCAGCCCCATATTTTTAATTAATTAATTTTATTTATTTATTTATTCTAATTTGTTATACATGACAGCAGAATGCATTTCAATTCATTGTATACATATAGAGCACAATTTTTCTTTTCTCTGGTTGTACCCAAAGTAGAGTCATACCATTCATGTCTTTATACATGTACCTAGGAGTAAGGATGTCCATCTCATTCCACCATCTTTCCTACTCCCATGGCCCCTCCCTTCCCTTCCTCCCCTTTGCCCCATCCAAAGTTCCCCCATTCCTCCCATGCTTCCCACCCTCATCCCCATTATGGATCAGCATTCACATATCAGAGAAAACATTTGGCCTTTGTTTTTTGGGGATTGGCTTATTGTATTTAGCATGATATTCTCCAACTCCATCCGTTTACCTGCAAATGCCATGATTTTATTCTCTTTTAATGCTGAGTAATATTCCACTGTGTATATATACCAAGTTTCTTTATCCATTCATCTATTGAAGGGCATCTAGGTTGGTTCCACAATTTAGCTATTGTGACTTGTGCTGCTATAAACATTGATGTGGCTGTGTCCTTGTAGTATGCTGTTTTTAAGTCCTTTGGGTATAGACTGAGGAGTGGAATAGCTGGGTCAAATGGTGGTCCCACTCCAACAAGTTTTCCAAGGAATCTCCATACTGCATTCCAGATTGGCTGCACCAGTTTGCAGTCTCACCAGCAATGTATGAGTGTGCCTTTTCCCCCACATCCTCGCCAACACTTATTGTTGTTTGTATTCTTTTTTAAAATATTTTTTTAGTTGTAGATGGACACAATATCTTTATTTATTTCCTTTTTAAATGTGGTACTGAGGATCGAGAACCCAGGGCCTCACACGTGAGAGGCAGGCACTGTACCACTGGGCTACAGCCCCAGCCCCTGTTTGTATTTTTTTTCTTTAATTTTTGTTTTTTTGGTAATTATACATGGTCAGAAAGCCTTTATTTTATTTGTTTATTTTAGCGCAGCAGAGGATAGAACCCAGTGCCTCACGTGTGCTAGGCAAGCGCTCTTGCCACTCAGCTACAGCCCCAGCCCATTTGTATTCTTAATAGCTGCCATTCTGCCTGGAGTGAGGTGAAATCTTAGAGTAGTTTTGATTTGCATTTCTCTGATTGCTAGAGATGATGAACATTTTTCATATATTTGCTGATTGATTGTATATCATCTTCTGAGAAGTGTTTTTTCAGTTCCTTTCCCCATTTATTGATTGGGTTATTATTATTATTTTTTTGGTGTTAAGTTTTTTGAGTTATTTATATATCCTGGAGATTAGTGCTCTATCTGATGTGTCAGGGGTAAAAATTTGCTCCCATTCTATAGGCTCTCAGATTGTTTCTTTTGCTTAGAAGAAGCTTTTTAGTTTGAATCTATCCCACTTATTGATTCTTGATTTTATTTCTTGCGCTATACGAGTCTTGTTAAGGAAGTTGGGGCCTAATCTGACATGGTGAAGATTTGGACCTATTTTTTGTTCTATTAGGTGCAGGTTCTCTGGTCTAATTCATAGGTCCTTGATCCACTTTGAGTTGCATTTTGTGCATGGTGAGAGATAGGGGCTTGATTTTATTTTGCTGCATATGGATTTCCAGTTTTCCAAGCACTATTTATTGAAGAACCTATCTTGTCTTCAGTATATGGTTTTGGTGCCTTTGTCTAGTATGAGATAACTGTATTTATGTGGGTTTGTCTCTCTGTCCTCTCCTCTGTACCACTGGTCTGAAGTCTATTTTGTTTCCCAATACTATGCTGGTTTTGTTAATATTGCTCTGTAGTATAGTTTAAGGTCTGGTTTTAGTGATGCCAAGTGCTTTACTCTTCTTGCTAAGGATTGCTTTGGATATTCTGGGTCTATTTTATTTATTTTTATGTGGTACTGAGGATCGAACCTAGTGCCTCACATGTGCCAGGTGAGCACTCTACCACTGAGCCATACCCCAGCTGTCTAGTTGGATTCTTAACCATACGTTGTTAGAGATTTTATGGTTAGAAAGAATATTTTTTTTTAATTTCTTCTTTACTATTTTTTAAAATTATTTTTATTTTTAGTTGTAGATGGACACAACACCTTTATTTTATTTATTTATTTTTATGTGGTGCTAAGAGTCAAACCCAGTGTCTTACATATGCTAGGCAAGCACTGTATCACTGAGCCACAATCCCAGCCCAGGAGGAATTCTTATCTCCTAGAATTCTGGGATCTGATTTCTGAAAAGGGTCACAAAATTCCCCTCTTAAGGGTAACCTGGGTTCCTTTTAATGGACATTATTTCAATTTGAATTATTTTAGTGTCATCAATATGTTTAGTATTAGGAAAACACCTCCATCTCTCCCTGAAAAGCTGGGTACCTAAACTTTGAGTCCCCATATGGTCACTCTTCATGAGTTCCTTCATTTCTCTGTGGGTTTATCTACCCAGTACTTGGAAATCATTCCCTAGTAAGAATTTCTAACCTTGCCCTTTTTCCTAAATCCCAGAGAGTTTTGGGGTGTATCTCTTGCCCTCATTCTCCCTACTAGTTGGTCACCAGCTCACTCGTGAATACCTCACACATTCTATTTTGCAGGGTGCCTGGCTCGGTTGATGTCTTCTTTAGGTCAAGTGGCTAGCTGAGAGTTGAACTGGTGTCCCTGATGCCAGTCTTGTCCTAGTACCTGCTCAAGAGACCCTGATAAGGCCTTTCCGAATGCAACCTGGTCCTGTTGCATTGTCCTCTGGTGTGGGACCTTGAGCATCTCCCTTGTCACCTGGTAAGCCAGGCTTTCATGACCCTTTATGACGAGGTTTCCCACATACTTTGTCAGCCCCAAGTCCTGCTGCCCCATGGGTCCCCTCCAGCCTGTCATTGTGAGCACGTTAGTAGTTCCCAGAACTTTTTGGTTTCCTCACGTCTCCTTGCTCTGGCAGTGCTGTCCCTCTAGGAACGCCTTCTTCACTGTAGGAGCCCTGCTTGCTCTTCCCAAGTTAGCCTAATGACTTCACTCCTTCCTGGCTGCACACGTGCCCGCCACTCCATAGTAGTCTGGACAGTGTCCACTCTACAGCTGGTCAGACCAGCCCATGCGCTTCTTAGAACCCTGATCTTGTTCACCCTATTCCGATGGCGCTTTGGCTCTTCTTCTTTACCCCCTAACTCCTGTAGCCAAGTTAAATATTTTCCAGGTGTGAGACACCAGTGTGGCAATGGAGCTGATGCAACTTCATCTTGGGTCATTGCTGCCCTGGCCATGATTCCTCTTGAGACAGAGGTGGTAGTGTCTAAATTGAGGTTGCCTTGCTGCCGTTACTTAGAAGTAGAGTCTGCTCTCTGGATGGGGCACACACCTGTAATCCCAGTGGCCCAGAAGGCTGAGGCAGGAGGATTGCAAGTTTGAGCCTAGGAAGCTTAGTAAAATCCTGTCTCAAAATAAAAATAAAAGGGACCAGGTTGTAGCTTAGTGATAGATTGCTTACTCGCCATTTATGAGGCCCTGGGTTCCATCTCCTCTCTGTGAAAAACCTAAATAAGAAGCAGATTCTGTTGGCATCAATGCAGGGGTAGCCCAGAGGACATTTGGTTCCTGCATTACTCATGGAGGTGCCTACAGTTAGGACTCCTGTACTTTCCTGCAGTCTTAAAATGAATTCAGATCGACTAGAAGATGTTCATTCTCTTCATCCTCTAACCTCTGGCTGAACAGCTGGAGGTGTGGTTCGCGGCACTCCACGGGGGCTGGACCTGTTGCCTTCCTTCTACAGAACTGGCCTGCATTGAGTACTGTCCATTGTTTGGTGACTGATTGACCAGTGGCTGTCAGCTCCTAGTGGTGCCCTCCTTTTTGTTGAGAGACTCTTAGCTCCACCTACATGCCTCGAGGGAGAGGTTTTTTTGTCCTCTTTTCCTGTTTTCAGACATTGCCACCTAACCATTTTTTTATATCAAACCAGGTAACAGAGATGAACTTCCTTTTTGTGTGATTTTAGGTCTAATTTTTCAGCAGTCTGAGGTCAGAAAAAAGGAGGAACTTCTGAAGAGGCACCATGTGGTAGGACTTTGAGTAGTCCTTGCAGTCAGAATCAGGAATCTGGAGCCTGCCTCACGCTCCCCATTCCTGGAGGGGAGACTGCCTGGGCTGGGGGGGTTCCCAGGGAGGTATCTTAAAGTGCAGTCCCT